CAAGTAAGAAAGAGGTGAAGGTTTATAAACTAAGCAAGGAGGAGTTAGTTAGGGTAAGATATAAACAACTGTTGGAAGAAAGATGGGCTAGTGAGAGTATATGCAATGCAGTTGAAGAGGTATGGGATAAATTTCAGAATATATTGTTAGAGTTTCAGCAGAAGTGTGTGCTTACAGAAAAGTGGGTGTGGGAGGGAAGAAGAGTGAATAGTGGAATGATGATGTAAAGAGAGTAGTAAGAGAGAAAAAGTTAGCATATGAGAGGCTAGAAAGTAGAAGTGATGTAGGGAGGGAGATATGGAGAGAGAAAGAGGGGTTAAGAGAGTGGTGAAGTAATATAAAAGGAGAGCAAATGAGAGAATGGATGAAATGCTATCAACAAATTTTACTGAGAATAAGAAAAAGTTTTCGAGTGAGATTAATAAGTTGAGAAAACCTAGGGAATGAATGGATTTGACAGTGAAAGATAAGAGAGGAAAGATGGAGAGAATATTTTGGGGAACTGTTAAATGTTGTTGAAGATAGGGAAGCTTTGATTTTGTGCATTGGGCAGAGAGGTATAACATTTTGTAGGCATGAGGAAGAGTCACTTGTGAGTGTTTGGAGGTACGTGAGGGAGTGGGATTGATGGAATAATGACAGAAATGTTAAAAGCAGGTGGGGATATAGTTTTAGAATGGTTGGTGCTTTTATTTAACCCTTTGACTGTTTCCGACGTATAAATACGTCTTACAAGCCAATGTTTCTGACGTATTTATACGCATAAATTCTAGCAGCTTCAAATCAAGCAGGAGAAAGCTGCTAGCCCACATGTGAGAGAATGGGTCTCCATGGTCAGTGTGCACCATATAAAAAAAATCGGGGAGCCAGTGGTGCATTGTGGGAATGCCATTTCAGTTGTCATTTTTCAGCATGTCTAGTGGTAAGAAATATGTGATTCCCCAGCAAATCTGGGACTCTTCTCTTCCCAAGTGATGCTCTAACACAGATGGAAGTGTCAGTGAAGATCAATTTCATGATTTGGAGGAGTTTGAGACCAAAAGCAATGGAGGAGGAGGAGGGGGAGGAGGGGAGGAAGAGGAGAGGAGGAGGAGGGAAGGAAGAGGGGGGGGAGGAGGAGGAGGAGGAGAAGAGGGGGAGGAGGGGGAAAAGAAAAAAGATGAAAATAATATTTTTCCCCTTAAAGAAAGAAAAAAAAAAAGCCCACCCCTTTGAAAAGGGGGCCCAAGTTTAAGGGGAAAACATTAAATAAGACCCGGGATTTTGGATGAGCGTAAAGGAGGGTAATTTTAAACAGGGCCATCCCCTCCCTTTTTTTTTTTTGGGGTACACAAAAAATTTCTGTCTGTCTATTTTGTTTTCTTCAAGCTCCCTGTTGCCCATCTAGCTCTCTTTTCTCAGAGAGAGCCACAAGACTGTGTCATCACTTTTATTTCACTTTTTAAGCGAGAAATAGCACTTTGCCCTGGATTTTTTTGGGGTTTATCCTGGGAAATTTACATTTATAAAAACTTGATTTATGTGTACCTGTGAGACAGAGAAGGCGGGAAGTTAGAAAGAGAGACAGTTTTGAAAGATTTTAGAATGAGGGGGGAAAGTTTAATTAGAAAAGAATGGAGGAGGGGAAGCAGCTCCAACCCCTTTGGTTTTGCGGGGATTTAGGGGAAAGTGCTAATGAAAACAATTTTGTCACTTTGAAAAGCGCCAAACTTCTGACCCCCAAAACAATTATAACCACAACCCCAAACAAGACAAGGAGGAGGGGAAAGAAGGGAAGAAAAAAGGAAAGAAGAAAAGGAGAAGAAGAAGGAAAGAAAAAGGGAGAAAAAGGAGAAGGAAAAAAGGGGAAAAAAGGGAGAGAAAAAGAAGGAGGAGGAGAAGGAGAAGGAGAAGGAGAAAAAGGAGGAAAAGGGAAAGAAGGGGGGAAAAAAGGAGGGGGAGAAGAAAAGGAGGAAAAAGGGAGAAGGAGGAGGAAAGGGAAAGGGGGAGGAGAAGGAGGAGGAAAAGGGAAGAAGGGGGGGAAAAGGGAGGGAGGAGGAAAAGGAGGAGGAGAAGGAAAAGGAGAAGGAGAAGGAGGGGGGAAAAAGGAAAAGGGAGAAGGAAAGGGAAGGAGGGAGGAGAAGGAGAAGGAGGAGGGAAGGAGAAGGGGGAAAGGAGAAAGGAGAAGGAGGAGGGGGAAGGAGAAGGAGAAGGAGGGGAGAAGGAGGAGGAGGAGGAGGGGGAAAGGAGGAGAAGGGGGGAGGAGGAGGAGAAGGAGAAGGGGGAAGGGGGAGGAGAAAGAAAGGAGGGGGAAAGAAGGGGGGGGAAAAGGGAGAAGGAGGGGAAAAGGAGAAAGGAGGAAGGAAAAGGAGGAGGGGGAAGGGAGAAGGAGGAGGAAAAGGAGAAGGGGAGGAGAAGGGGGGGGGAGGGGGAAGAAAAAAAAGGAAAGGAAAAGGAGAAGGAGGGAGGAAAAGGGGGGAAAAAGGGAAAATTTTTGGGGGGAGGAAAAAGAAGGAGGGGGGGAGAAAAAGGGAGGGGGAGAAGGGGGAAGGGAGAAGGAAAAGGGAAAAGGGGGGAGGAGAAGGAGGAGGAGAAGGGGGAGGAGAAGGAGGAGGAGGGGGGAAAAAGGGGAGGAGGGGGAAAGAAGGGGGGAGGAAAGGGGGAAATGAAAAGGAAAGGAGGATGAAAAGGGAGGAGAGAAGGAAAATGGGGATGGGGATAGGGGGGATGATGAGAGGATGATAAATGGGGATGAGATTATGAGATGATTGATGATGGGGTTTGATGAGGGAATGATGATGATGGGAGATGGATGAGGATGATAAATGGGATATGTGTGGTTTGTGGAATGAATATGAGTGTTTGATGAATAGGGATTTTTTTTTGGGGTTTGGGGTAAAAAAATATATTATAAATTTTTGGTTGCTTATTTGTTGTATAAAACGAGGTATATTTGTACATTGCCCCTTTAATTTTGGTTCATACCCAATAATTATTGAAAAAAAAAATAGTAAAAAAAAACCAAAAAACCCTTCAATTACAAGTAAACTAAATTTTCCCGGGGTTGGCGCAGTCCCGCTGTTGCCAAAACGGGGCTCTTTTTCTGAAAAATTTCAGGGCTCTATATTCGGAAAATTTCCTATGGCAAAAAAATTTTTTTTGGACAAAAAACACTCAGAAAAATAATTTTAAACTTTTTCCCAATAAAAAAAAATTTTTTTTTTTTTTGAATTTTTTGGCGAAAATAAAAAAGGGAACGTTTCAAAAGGGGGTTTAAACATAAAAGGGTTTAAAGGAATTGTGGGGAAAGGGGGGAATAACCTAGAGATTGGCAGAGAGCACACACAGTTTTTTTTGTCAAAAGGCAAAGGGGACAATTGAGAGTTTTAAAAATTATGGGGAAAAAAAGCATGTTGAGTATACCTGGAAAAGTGTAGGGTTTAGATTTTTAATTAAAAGAATTAGAGGTAAGAAGGAGGAAGGATTGCAAATAAAACAAGGAACCCTTTAGGAAGGGTGGGGGGTTGTGAAAGCCAAGTGAAGCATATAGAAAAAGGGAAAAAAGGTTTTTCATAGCATTAAGGGTTTTGGGGAAAAATCCCTAGGGTAGGGGGATAAAAAGCAGTGGCAAATGTTGCAAATGCATGGAATAGATCGTGGGTTACAAAAACATTAAGGGAGTTTTTACAGGGTAAGAGGCTAAGATTAAATATGGGGAAAAGAGGGGATTATTTCCCATAAAAAAGGCCTTGCGGGGATGTGTGGTCACCATGGTTGTTCAAAATATTTATAGATGATTGTAAAAAAAATATGAATGCTCAGATTTTGGGCAAGGGGTGTGGGGGGGTATGTAAAAGAAGGAAATTAAAATGAATATAGGAAAGAACAAGGTGATGGGAAAAAAAATTTTAGGTAGTGAAAGATGGATATCAGTTGAATGGGGGGAGAGGAGTACCCTCACCTCTAAGTGGATTTTTTCAGATATTTGAGAGTAGACTTTCAGAAGGGGTCCATGAAATTTTAGATAATCACAGAATTGATGAGAAAAAAAGGTGGGGGGTCTTTGAAGAGCCCTGTGGAGACAAACGTTATTTTTGGGAAAGAAAAGAGGGGAAATGTTGAAAATAGTGGTCCATACTCTTTTGGATTGAGCATGGATAGTAAATTTGCAACAAGGAAAGGCTGGAGGCAGGGGAATGTCACATCGAGGAAATGTGTTGTTAGTATAATACGAGAATCTGTAATTTGGAATTAAAAAGGTGGGGTTTCAAAAAGTATTTCCAGAGGACAGAGAAGGGTTGTTGGGGGGTTCGGACATTTAGAGGGGAGGAAAAAAATGAATGACTTAGGGGGCATTTAATCGTAGAAAAGGGAAGGCGGGAAGGGGTTGCCAAAAAAGTTTTGGAGGGAGAGGGTAAGGGAAAATTTGCGTCGAGGGGCTTGTACTTCCAGAAAGCTATTGACATATTAAAATGGGGCAAGTGGAGAAAAGGGTTTTTTTATGCTTAATTCTTTGGGGTACAAAGTAATTTTATGAAAAAATTCAGTGAAAGCATTGGGGGTTGGGTCCCTGGAGGTGAAAAGTTCAGTGACTTTCTTGAAGGGGGTTTGTTGATAGTTGCAGATTTTTAACTAGTGTGGGCATGCCTTGGTGGGAATGGCCGATGTGTTAAAAAACAAAAATAAAAAGTTTAGTGCTGGGGGTTTTAGGCTTTAAAAAAAATTTTTAATTAAAAAATTTTTTCTGGAAAGGTACAAAAAACTGGTAAAATAGTTTCCCTTTGGGTTTACATTTTTCAGAGCCAAGAGGCTTATGTTAATCCCCCCCTTACTCTTTAAATGCTTTAGGGGTAATTTTTTACCTACTGGGTGGGAAAGTTTTTGTTTCTGAAACTTTTAACCCATTTTTTTCCCGTTCTTTGCTTTTTGTAATGCCCTTTTATGTATTGCCAATTTTTTAGAGCAAAAAACCCCCCTCCGGGTTTGGGAAAGGGTTTGTAATAAACGTAATCTTATCACAGGGGGAGACGAACAAAAGCAATGATGTGAACTCAGCCGCTTGTCAAGTTATTGGCAGATCGTTTTGTGTGGCTCTTACCCCCCATTTGGCTGACTTTTAAAACAGTGGGGGAAAAAGCCTTTGGGCTGCGACCACAATTCATCAAGATAGGTAAGAGAAAGCGAAATGCAGTGTGGATTTTCATTAAATTGCCTGTACACTTGTTAATTTTAAATTTTTAGAAATAAGATGGGCTGTCTTTGGGGCAATTTTATAATTATCTATTAAAAACATTGTTAATTCTGTTTTAGAATTAGTTAAAAAAATCCCTTTTTTGCCTATTTCACTCTGGAGCATTTCGTGACTGTTAGTTTGTCATAAAAATTTCCCTTTGGTTTACAGATTATCTTTTCATCATTTTTCATATCAGGAAGATGCGACTGAAATTAGTTTTCTCTTAATCTTTTGTACTTAACCTTTTGATAAATTTTGGTTATCAGGGATAGGTTGGGAGACGCAACTGCCCAAAGGTCTACCGACCCAAGTGATGTAAAACAGAAACCTGTATTTGTTTTACTGATTAGGGTTGCTGGTGTCTTTATCTTCATAAAAAATGCAAGATTTCAGGGACATCTTGCTACTCACTTAGACTTTAATCACACTACACAGATGTACAGTGTATGTATACACACTCATTTATGTTTTTTTGTTGTATCTTAAAGTTTCTTACATTATTCTTTTTCCCTTTCAATCCCTTGGGAAGTGGAATAAGAATCTTTCCTCCATAAGCTGTGCATGTTGTAAAAGTCAACTAAAATGCCAGGAACAATGGGCTAGTAACCCCTTTTCCCATATAGCCTACTAAAAAGAAAAAGAAGAAAACCATCAAAATGGGATGTTTGAATTTGCGTGGACATTGTGTGATATGAATGAGAAGAAGCTGGATATCCTGGCTTTAAGTGAAACAAAGCTGAAGGGGGTGGGTGAGTTTCAGTGGAGAAGAATAAATGGGATTAGGTCAGGGGTTTCTAGTAGAGTTAGAGCTAAAGAAGGAGTAGCAATAATGTTGAAGGATAAGCTATGGCAGGAAAAGAGGGGCTATAAATGTATTAATTCAAGGATTATGTGGAGTAAAATAAAGGTTGGATGTGAGAAGTGGGTTACATTAAGCATTTATGCACCTGGGGAAGAGAGAAGTGTAGAGGAGAGAGAGAGATTTTGGGAAATGGGGAGTTTTGAACCAAGTGTGAGAGTACTTGTGGTTGGGGATTTCAATGCTAAAGTGGGAAAAAATGTTGTGGAGGAAGTAGTTGGTAAATTTGGGGTGCCAGGGGTAAATAAAAATGGGGAGCCTTTAATTGAGCTATGTGTAGAAAGAGGTTTGGTAATAAGTAATACATATTTTATGAAAAAGAGGATAAATAAATATACAAGGTATGATGTAGCACGTAATGAAAGTAGTTTGTTAGATTATGTATTGGTGGATAAAGGGTTGATGGGTAGGCTCCAGGATGTACATGTTTATAGAGGGGCAACTGATATATCGGATCATTATTTAGTTGTAGCTACAGTTAGAGTAAGAGGTAGATGGGAAAAGAGGAAGGTGACAACAACAAAGTAAGAGGGAGGTGAAAGTGTATAAACTAAGGGAGGAGGAAGTTCGGGTTGAGATATAAGCGACTATTGGCAGAAAGGTGGCTAGTGCAAAGATGAGTAGTGGGGGGGTTGAAGAGGGTTGGAATAGTTTTAAAAATGCAGTATTAGAATGTGGGGCAGAAGTTTGTGGTTATAGGAGGGTGGGGGCAGGAGGGAAGAGGAGTGATTGGTGGAATGATGAAGTAAAGGGTGTGATAAAAGAGAAAAAGGTAGCTTATGAGAGGTTTTACAAAGCAGAAGTGTTATAAGAAGAGCAGAGTATATGGAGAGTAAAAGAAAGGTGAAGAGAGTGGTGAGAGAGTGCAAAAGGAGAGCAGATGATAGAGTGGGAGAGGCACTGTCAAGAAATTTAATGAAAATAAGAAAAAAATTTTGGAGTGAGTTAAACAAGTTAAGAAACCCTAGGGAAAGTATGGATTTGTCAGCTAAAAACAGAGTAGGGAGTTAGTAGATGGGGAGAGGGAGGTATTAGGTAGATGGTGAGAATATTTTGAGGAACTTTTAAATGTTGAGGAAGAAAGGGAGGCGGTAATTTCATGCACTGGCCAGGGAGGTATACCATCTTTTAGGAGTGAAGAAGAGCAGAATGTAAGTGTGGTGGAGGTATGTGATGCATTATGTAGAATGAAAGGGGGTAAAGCAGCTGGAACTGATGGGATCATGACAGAAATGTTAAAAGCAGGTGGGGATATAGTGTTGGATGTGTTGGTACTTTTGTTTAATAAATGTATGAAAGAGGGGAAGGTACCTAGGGATTGGCGGAGAGCATGTATAGTCCCTTTATATAAAGGGAAAGGGGACAAAAAAGATTGTAAAAAATTATAGAGGAATAAGTTTACTGAGTAATACCAGGAAAAGTATACGGTGGGGTTATAATTGAAAGAATTAGAGTAAGACAGAATGTAGGATTGCGGATGAGCAGGGAGGCTTCAGAGTTGGTAGGAGATGTGTAGATCAAGTGTTTACATTTAAGCATATGTAAACATATTTAGATAAAGTGGGGAAAAGTTTTTATTGCATTTATGGAGTTAGAAAAGGCATATGATAGAGTGGATAGAGGAGCAATGTGGCAGATGTTGCAAGTATAGGAATAGGTGGTAAGTTACTAAATGCTGTAAAGAACTTTTATGAGGATAGTGAGGCTCGGGTTAGGGTGTGTAGAAGAGGGGGAGATTACTTCCCGGTAAAAATAGGTCTTAACAGGGATGTGTAATGTCACCATGGTTGTTTTAAAATATTTATAGATGGGGTTGAAAAAAAATAAATGCTAGGGGGTTCGGAGAGGGGGTGGGATTAAATTATGGAATCAATTCAAAATGAGAAAAAAATTGACACAGTTACTTTTTTTTTGATGATACTGTGCTTATGGAGATTCTAAAGAAAAAATTTCAAAGGTTAGTGGATGAGTTTGAGAATGTGTGTAAAGGTAGAAAGTTGAAAGTGAACATAGAAAAGAGTAAGGTGATGAGGGTATCAAATGATTAAGATAAAGAAAAATTGGATATCAAATTGGGGGGGCGGAGTATGGAAGAAGTGAATGTTTTCAGATACTTGGGAGTTGACGTTTCGGCGGAAGGATTTATGAAGGATGAGGTTAATCATAGAATTGATGAGGGGAAAAAAAGGGGAGTGGGGCGTTGAGGTAAAAGTGGAGTCAAAAAAAAGTTATCTATGGAGGCAAAGAAGGGAATGTATGAAAGTATAGTAGTACCAACACTCTTATATGGATGTGAAGCTTGGGTGGTAAATGCAGCAGCAAGGGGGACGGTTGGAGGCAGTGGAGATGTCCTGTCTAAGGGCAATGTGTGGTGTAAATATTATGCAGAAAATTCAGAGTGTGGAAATTAGGAGAAGGTGTGGAGTTAATAAAAGTATTAGTCAGAGGGCAGAAGAGGGGTTGTTGAGGTGGTTTGGTCATTTATAGAGAATGGATCAAAGTAGAATGACATGGAAAGCATATAAATCTATAGGGGAAGGAAGGAGGGGTAGGGGTCATCCTCGAAAGGGTTGGAAAGAGGGGGTAAAGGAGGTTTTGTGGGCGAGGGGCTTGGACTTCCAGCAAGCGTGCATGAGCGTGTTAGATAGGAGTGAATGGAGACGAATGATACTTGGGACCTGACGATCTGTTGGAGTGTGAGCAGGGTAATATTTAGTGAAGGGATTCAGGGAAACCGGTTATTTTCATATAGTCGGACTTGAAATGGAAAGTACAATGCCTGCACTTTAAAGGAGGGGTTTGGGATATTGGCAGTTTGGAGGGATATGTTGTGTATCTTTATACGTATATGCTTCTAAACTGTTGTATTCTGAGCACCTCTGCAAAAGCAGTGATAATGTGCGAGTGTGGTGAAAGTGTTGAATGATGATGAAAGTATTTTCTTTTTTGGGGATTTTCTTTCTTTTTTGGGTCACCCTGCCTCGGTGGGAGACGGCCGACTTGTTGAAAAAAAAAAAAAATATATATATAAAAACTTTAAAACATAGTGGAGAGATGTGGAGCTCACAGAAAATGTAAACAAACCGGGTGGCTCGGGGTGACCCCATTATAGAGTCAGGTTGGGGGAGCCGTGTAGCAAGTTTTGGTCATAATCTGAAAAGTCCACATTAGCGGAACACCGTAAGGCGACACACAGTGAAGTGTATTAAGTTGACCCCTAATTCTTGTAATGAAGAAATGAAAGTAAATTTTTTTTTTTTTTTTTTTTTTTTGCTTTATTGAAGTATCCATGTTTCAGGTGGGTTATGAAGCAGGTAGCAGTGGCAGTCGTCTCCCAGCTTCATGTATGAATGACCTGGATATGGAATTGATTCCCGTGATTCATCGAGCAGCAACAAACATTACTGATCAGCCAATCATACTGGAGCTTGTGTTTCATATTATGGAGCAGTAAAGGTGACTTAGGTTGTTCCTGTATTTTTTTTTCCACTTTAAATTTGGTAAGTTAATATTGAGTTGCAAAACAGTAATTTCTTTACTTATTGAGCAGCTAAAGAATGTATGTACTTACAAGTGATGAGGTGTTAATACTTTTATGAAATGTACAGACAGTAGCTTCACCTAAGTCCTTATTTTACAGTTTAGGACAGTATTCTTGATTCTTCAAATGATTTAGTATATCACAGGATGAAGAATTTATGCCGATACAAGAGACAGTTGTTCTAACTCTGTTCGATGGGTATCTTATCTTGAACTTACTTTGCAAATTAGCTAATGTGCAGTGTCCTGTATAACTAGCCTAATCTTGTAAATACACGAGTTAGCGAATTCAAAAGCAAGGATAGCAAGAGCAGTGTTTTTCCTTCCAGTTTTATGATAATCTCGATTACCTTTGTTCAGGGAGAGAGACTTCTCCTTTAATAATGAATATGACTGTGATTCTTTATGATGACTTTTGTTTTATATATACATATATATATATGAGCATCTCTTCATTGATAGATATGAGCTATCTAATACAAAAACAATTTGATATATGTTTTGTTTCGATAATTCTCTTGGCAAGTATTCTAGTTGAGAAATTAATGTGAGTTTGAAAAGCAATGTTGAAGGAGAAACCTCTTGCTCTGTGTTCCCCAGTGTTTGTTTTATATTTACTCTCATGGAACCTCCTAATCTATGCAGTACATTACTATAGGCTTCTCCAGTCAAACTTCTGTGTGCTCGGTTATATTTTTCACCTTTAACAAATTAACAAGTTGGACATCTCCCACCAAGGCAGGGTGACCCAAAAAGAAAAAAATCCCCAAAAAGAAAATACTTTCATCATCATTCAACACTTTCACCTCACTCGTACATAATCACTGTCTTTGCAGAGGTGCTCAGATATGACAGTTTAATATATATATTATATATATATATATATATATATATAATATATATATATATATATATATATATATAATATATATATATATATATATATATATATATATGTATGTATGTATTTTCTTATAGTCGGACTTGAGTCCTGGAAATGGGAAGTACAATGCCTGCACTTTAAAGGAGGGGTTTGGGATATTGGCAGTTTGGAGGGGTATGTTGTGTATCTTTATACGTATATGCTTCTAAACTGTTGTATTCTGAGCACCTCTGCAAAAGCAGTGATAATGTGTGAGTGTGGTGAAAGTGTTGAATGATGAAAGAATTTTCTTTTTGGGGATTTTCTTTCTTTTTGGGGTCACCCTGCCTCGGTGGGAAACGACCAACTTGTTGAAAAAAAAAAAAAAAATATATATATATATATATATATATATATATATATATATATAATATATATATATATATATATATATATATATATATATATATATATATATATATATATATGAGTGAATGGAGACGAATGATACTTGGGACCTGACGATCTGTTGGAGTTGTGAGCAGGGTAATATTTAGTGAAGGGATTCAGGGAAACCGGTTATTTTCATATAGTCGGACTTGAGTCCTGGAAATGGGAAGTACAATGCCTGCACTTTAAAGGAGTGGTTTGGGATATTGGCAGTTTGGAGGGATATGTTGTGTATCTTTATACGTATATGCTTCTAAACTGTTGTATTCTGGGCACCTCTGCAAAAGCAGTGATAATGTGTGAGTGTGGTGAAAGTGTTGAATGATGATGAAAGTATTTTCTTTTTGGGGATTTTCTTTCTTTTTTGGGTCACCCTGCCTCGGTGGGAGACGACCGACTTGTTGAAAAAAAAAAAAATATTTATATACTGTATATATCTATCCATATTTTCTAATTCCCCATTCTGATGTCTCCAAATTCCTTAGCAGTTTTGAGAATAAACCATCATTTGATGGATTATAATTTGTAACTGTTTTTTGTCTGGCAATTTATTTCTTATTTCAAATAACCCTAATTGCTAGTTTCACTCAAAATTTTGTTTTCTCTCTTGAATGTCTTAACTCATAGTCAAGTGAAATTGGGATTTGCTGGAAAGTATCTTTTCCTTGTATTATAAGCCAAAACACTTGCGAGAGTAATTAAGAGGTTGTATTGTGAAATTGCATGACGCTATCTAAGTGCCTTGGACTGGCTAACTCGCAGGACTATACGAGTAGATCATGGTGCAAAATTGATAAAAAATAACACTTAGGAAAGTTGCCCATCTGAAGAAAGTATCTCTTTATGGTTGAATTATACACCAAGTCTTATGTAATTTTTGGTGCTTTTAAATCACTTAGTAAACTTAATTGTATATTAATTCAGTTCTTGTTTTCCTAGATAAATGAAGGTTCTTCAGTGTTTGTTGGCATAGGAATAATTATATTTATCCACTCATCATGTACAGTATCAGTTTACTCATTGTCACTCATGGTAAGAAATCTTTGGACCTTCATGTTAGTTAATTAATGCAGATAAGGAATTTAGTTGATGGTTTACAGTAAATTTTTTGATGTGAGCATTTTATCCACAATCTAGAAGGGTGCAAACTTTACTTTTGGTTGTTCAGCGACTGGCAGAATTTCATCTCCTGTCACGAAGTCAGTATGTAAATCAGGAAAGTAGACCATACTAGCCTTAAGTTACAAAAGAATCTGAACATATTTTAGGCTCACTCAAGCAAGCAGTTGAGGGTTAGGCTTTGCCTAGTTCTCGAAAAAGGCTACTTAGGGTTGTAATCTAGTGTTTTATAGATAAAAGAATGTTAACTAGCTAATTTTTTCTTTATCTGCTAACCAGAATGTCATTCATATAAATGCAATTAATATTTCAACATAAGTTCTTTTAAATTAAAAGAAAAAATATATAAATTCCTTGGCCTGTTTCCAAATTAGCTGAAAACCCACGTAATGCTTTTTTGATACAGTGGATATAAAAAGTTCTTAATCAAAGGCACTTCTGTGATGAAATATAAGGAAAGGAAGTGGCCATTGTCTTTTACAGACTTAATAAATGCTAAAATGCTCTCCAGCTGCTTTAAAAAGCCGTAATATTAATAAACATCACTTGCAGCTTGCCCATGAAGCCAGCAGCAGGTTTTGTTGGTAACAGCACTGTTGCATTTGAAGAGTATGAAAGTGTCTACCCCCCCCCCTCTTTTCTCTGTATATTTTGGTCTCATTAACACTTACATGAAAGGCTCAGGATAAGGTGAAGGTCCTTCTTGGCTTGTTTAAATTATTATACTATCACATATTTTATATATACAGTATATTGTTGCAAGTGTCACATTTAAAGAATAATAACCCGTCACCGTTATTATATGTTTAAAGTTTACGTATAAATGTTCGTTTAATACCTTTGTTCATTCTTGTAAGATTCATTGATGGACTGTTTTTTTTTTGTCTAGCTATCTGCAGTATGTTGAATGGCTCCATGATAAGGTTCAATGCATGGTTGTATTACAATGCAAAGGCAGTACTCAGAATTTCTAAAACTAATTTAGCAGTGACAATCTACTCAGGTTTTCCTCTTTAGATTCTGAAACTGTACCTAAAATCCTTCCCCACCCCACCTGCAATGTAAGTAAATAACAGAAATTAGTGCTAGGTAAATTTGTGTAATTTTTCCCATGCTAATATTGTTTTACTGATTTTTTTTATGCATTGCCATTTTATATTTTCTTGCACTGAAAAAAAATCATTGCCAGTCAACATAACTAATATACATTATGTATTTCTGTACTTTCAGACCTCATTAAATTCCCAGTCGTACAAATTGTTTTTTTTATTCATATGGGGATATGTCCACTGCATCAAATGTACATCTGATGGACTGGCAGTGTTTGGTACTCCTTTAATATATCTCACTGAAAACTTTGAGCCATAATGTAAACATTGTTTTATGATGTACATGTATGTCATTTGATTAAAAATTAATATTTATTTGTAAATGGTTATTTGCAGACTAACTTAGTATAGATATAAACAGCAGAGCTAGCTATATGAAAAATTTACATTTGGATTATTTGTAGATATCCCTATAAATAGCATTGTGATTATAATAAAAATATGTATACAGTACATGGTTTAAGAAAACAGTCTTTCATTCCCTCTGTTTAATTTGTGGTTCAGCAGTCCATTGATATTATATACATCTTGTAAGAGTGCATCCAAATTGTACAATGGTCCCAGTGATATTTGAATTTCTCCCCAGCATTTACAACAAATGACTATAAAAAAAAATTCATATTGATCATCCGTTTGTTGCTCGTCTTTCACCGTGGTCCCAGGATCTCTGCAACGGTAGTTTCTTTAATCTTGACACTGGATGAGGGGAGGGGGGGATAAAGATTTTATAATAATAAAAAGAGCACTAAATCTATTGTTCCCCTCTGTAGCACAACCACTCAAGCTATTTTCAGCAACATCTCTTTCCGTGCTTGTCCTCCCATTTGAATCCTGACTCCTTTGCATTTCTTCAGATCTTTAATGTGAACACAATTCTGTACACACCTGTGTTATCAAAAGTGTAGGTCTGTTGGGTGATCAATCAATTGGCCGAGCACTATCTGAGCTGGCCCTAAAATCTCATTGTATACATTGTTCCTAGGTACACATTGCCTGCATAAATAACATCTGTTAAACTAAGAAACTCTCACGGCTGTGAACTATAAGTAGAGTATCACCCGTCATTAATACTGACGTTATAAGGATGTGTTATGTGAAGAAATGAGATTAGGGAATAAGAAATCCTACAGTTGATTTTTAAATTAAGGGCTGTGTCCCTAGCCTACACAAAATGGGCATGGTAAATAACTTTACTGAAAGGAGACCCCTCTTTGTAAAAACAGTGTAGTAAAAGCACTCAATTTGGAGGTTTGTACATGTACACCCATTATCACATACCCTTCAAGGAGGGTACTTTGATGCCAGTGAAGAGCTCTTAATCCAAGGAATTGGAGATACCCTCCCCTTACTTGGATCAGACCTAATTTGCTCGCATTCCCCAGGCACTACAACCCTTGTGGGTTATGTGGTTTCCATTAATATATCATTCTGTATCACTTATTATTGCATCCATTGAAGAGCACTAAACCCATAGGGGCTATACAGCACCAGGGAAATGGGAGACAGTTGGATTCAGTCTCAAGAAAGAGAAGGTAGTTCCAATTTTTTTGTCAAGCTCCCTCCATTACCCTGGATAAAATC